TTCGTGTGGGCCTTAAAGCTGCTGGCGGTTCAGGCACAAGCCCCGAGCTGGCTCCCTGCTCAGGCATCCTGGCCGTGCCGCTGAGCACCTGCGGCCCGGCTGCTTGGCCTCCCTGTGCTTGAGTCTTTTTATCTTCAAGATGAGGCTACTCAGAGCCCCTACCCGCTCGGGCTGTGATGGGGAATAAAGGAGTTAATGTGTATAAAATGCTTAGAAGGGCACGTTATGTGTGGCGAGCACTACACCAGTACCTGGCAAGTAGATTTTCACCTTTTGTCGGACTCTGGCTGTGCCCCCGACTCCCCCCAACCCCCGCCGTTAGCTCCAAACCACAACCGGGCGCATCGTCCGGCTTTCTCTTTCTCGTTGGCTCACTGCGCTGTGCTCCTGGGCGCACGGGTTACTTCCTGGGCCTCGGTCCCCCCATCTGTGCAACGGAGCGTGGAGTCTCCACCTGGTCCGTCCCACAGAACCCGGATGCGGTATGGCGGACAGCGGGCATGAAAGGGGAGGTGGGGCCCAAACGCGGACCGGTTCTGGGGAAAAGGAAATTCGAGAGATCTGGAGTGTAGGAGGGACCCACGAGGGTCCGAAGCCAGCAGGAGAGTGGGGGGACCGCTTCCTGACCCTGCCCAGGAGCAGTGGGTGCCCCCTGCCCACGCCCACGTGGCCCGAATGTGTCACTCACCCGTGTCACCCACATTTGCCCTGGCTGTGGGTGTTTGATGTGTCTCCCCACCCCCACCTTCCACCAGGAAAGCAGTGTGTCCTGTTTGTCCTGTGTCCTCAGCTCGTGGCCTGGCACGAAGCAGGAACTCAAAACGCTGTTGAATGAATGAATGAATACATGAAGGGGTGGATAAATGAATGACGACATATTAACAAAGGGGCGATCAGACTGTATTTTGGTCTTACAGATGGTCTGAGGTAGCAGTGCCCATAAGTGTGGGTGACGGACTGGCCTGGGGATCTTCTGAGACAAGCGGCCAAAGCCTAGTGGCTTCGAAGATGCCACGACGATGGCAGCTTCTCCTTCGTGATCAGACCATGTGCTTTCTGAGGACCTTGCTGCAAGTGGGGTCTCCAGGTGGGCATCAGTGTCCTCCAGGTGGGCGTAAGTGGCCTCGAGGCCTGGTCTGTCTGATTTCAGTCACACAGATGAACCACCAGTGGTTTGAACAAGGCCACCTTGACGGATGGCACCCTGCAGAGTCATCCCAGTGGAAGATGTACAGAGACACACAGAGGCCGACCAGCTGTGAACAACTCTCTTTTGGGAAGGAATCAAGGTCCGACGTTTTGAGGACACTATCACAGAGGTTTGCGCTGAGAAAGCCGCTTCCTTCCCAGATGGTCTCACACCCTCCGGTCACTTGGGGGCGGATCCTTCTGTGGCTTTCCTGTCCTTTCCCCATGCCAGGGCCAGCGACGGGCTTACATCCCAGGACAGAGGTGGCCTGTGGGCGACTCGGGCCACGCCCTGCATCCGACAGTGGCTTGAAATCCAAAAGCAAAAATCTGAGAGAGGAAAGTACATGAAGTTGGGGAGGGTGGCCCTTCCACTGGGCATTCTGGGGTGCTGGCTGCCTTCTCCTCCCCTGTTCTACCAGGCATCTGTCGTGAAAGGCCCCCCGAGTTCCTCTGGGCCCGGGAGGGCTGGTGGACTGCTCTGGCTTCTTGTCTATGAGGGCTGGGATGAGGCGTGGCTTGCAAAGTCGACGGCCCAGGCTCTAGACATGAAACTGAACTGACAACCTAAAACTATTGGGAGGGGCGGGGGGAGGCATGGAGGAGGAAGGCAGGAGGGAGGGACATCAGCAGACGCCAGTGGTTCCCAGGTGTAGGGCCACTGGACTCTGGCTCTCTGGCTGGTTTCACTTTGGGAAAAGGCGGATTCGTAGAGCCCCAACCTCAGCAGAAGCAGGAGCCGGGGGAGGCAGAAGGATGCAGAAGCTCTCAGCTCTCCTGGGCGTGGGGCGACACCAGCATCACGTGGATCTGGCTGTCACAGGAGTGGTTCACGTGGTCCCCTGTCATCCGCAGAGGCAGTGGGGGAAGAGAGGGAGGAAGGGAGGCCAGCAGAGGGGGTGGGTGGGCGCTTGCTGAGGGTCTCCCCAGCGGCGCAATCCTCACAACAGCCTCACGAGGGCGCTGCTATTGTGCCCATTTTTCAGATGCGCAAACGGGGGCAAGTTAGGCTGCTGCCCAAATTCTGGATTTGGGAAGAGGAGGAGCTCGGGAACGTGAGCCCTGGGCCGAGGAAGAGGCTGCCTGCGTCGGGGTCGATGGCCTCGGCTCCTGGCCTAGGGTCTCCCCAGCGGTGCAATCCCCACAATAACCTCAGGAGGGCGCTGCTATTGTGCCCATTTTTCAGATGCGCAAACGGGGGCAAGTTAGGCTGCTGCCCAAATTCTGGATTTGGGAAGAGGAGGAGCTCGGGAACGTGAGCCCTGGGCCGAGGAAGAGGCTGCCTGCGTCGGGGTCGATGGCCTCGGCTCCTGGCCTGTGCCCGCAGCGGAGGGAGCCCAGCTCTGGGAAGACCTCGGCCGTGACAATGAGAAGGCGCAGGCACAGGGACGGTCACTGAGCTCACGTCAGGGCTATTTCTGTTCCTTCCTTCGGAACTCGGCCAGCCCGGCCTGGAACGGGCTGAGGATCTCTGACCACCGGTTTTCCGGAGCCCGGCTCAGAGCAAGTGGCTGAAATCCGTCCCGTGTCCATACCAGGTAGGGGCTGGGACCCCGCCACCCCACAACCCAGAGCGTCTGTCCTGGCTGCTTGAAGTCGGGGCGTGAGAAGCGTTTTTCATGAACTGAAGCGAGCCTCTGCCCTCCCGGCTGCTTCTGACCCGGCTCCCTCGCTGCTTTTGCTGGCCTGGGGCGTCCGGCTGCAGGGTTGTGTCCCACAGCAGCCCCGGTGGCTAAGCAGCATCCCTCACAGTCACAGGCACCCAGACAAGGGGGTCTTGGGGCAGCCACATCTTACGGGCTTGCCTTTGATTTGTGGGGAGGGTGGGGCGGGGCCTGATACAGTGAGGAGACAGAAATGCATCCTGGCCAGCATCATGGTCCTGGACGTGGTCCGCCCAGCTAGCTGGAGCCCTTCAGACCTTCTCGAGAGAAGCTAGTGGCTGGCCACAGGGACACAGGCCCCTCCAGGTGGCTCGGCCCAGGCTCTCCTCCCTGGAAACGCATCCCGGAGCCTGGCGTCGCGGGAAGTTACTCGGCTGGGACTGTGCCAGGGGACGGGGTTGGCGGGGCCGCGTTGAGAGGCCGAGCGCAGACGCCCTGCCAGGGCATGCTGCTCTGGGGATTGACAGGCTGACAGCAGCCACAGTGCTCAGGCGGGAGGGACAATGAATGAGAAGAAAAGGGAGCCCGAGGGGTTCTGGAAAATTCCAGACCCAACCCCCACCCCAGGAGAGACCACGAATCAGAGTCCACAGTCCACGGATGCTGCTGTGCTTGTATTTCCAGGCCCCGCCCCCAGGCAGCCTGCCGTAGGGAGCTGAGGGACGATCCCTCAACATGGCCCCGTTTTCCGCAGCAGACTTGGGGGCAGACAGCAGCACCCAGAGGAGCTGGGGGAAGTGAAGGTGTCAAGCGAGCAACGTGCTAGCCCTTGGGGACAGATCCAGGCACTCCTCCCTGCCGGCGCCCCCGAGAACGCTTTTCCACAAGCCCCGCCCTCCAAGAACGCT